TGATGCAATGAGGCTAGTGGACAATATTTACTTAGCATTCTTGAATAGGTAGTTTGTTCCGCATAGTGATGCGATGATATCATAGAACTTTGCAAGAAATAGCACTGTGAAATGTATGCCATTTAACTCTTGAGCAGGAGATCGTTCATGTAAATGGTTCACCGTTGAGTTAAATTGTGATGGGCTATATGATATTATGGATTACACAGGATTATGTATTGGTATTCGTATTAACTACCCAAGGGTAGTATGAGGTTTTGGGTTGACATATATGACTTTGTTTGGTTGACATTTTAGTATTACATTCCTTTATTCTTTTATTCTTAGTTTTGGAGTTAATATTTAGTGATTCACAATTTGATACATATGGTATATACATGAGGGTTTCCTTGTTTAGATTATTTCACTCGACGTACCAGTCTCGTGTTGTGAATTTCTAAGTGTTAACCCCATCTAGTACAGGGTAAATGATTTAGGTAGGGTATGCATATATAGGTAGAGCCTCCATCATATGTAGCAGCCCTTTCCCTAGGGGGGAATGGAGATGATCTTGCTAGCGCTCTGACGCTGTTGTTTCCCCTTCTTTTCAGGCAGCGGAATAGAGCTTCGAAGAGCCGTAGGGTGACGGAATTTCTACATAGTCGTCGTCATTTCTTGATAGACAGCTTATGCTCCACATTAGTTTAGTATTTGTTTAGTGAATTATAAACTTGTATTTCATTTTGAAGGTGCGAGCCTTAGTACTATTTCAGTTAACTCTGCGTATTGAGATATTTCATATTTATTTTAGTTTATCAGTTGTACTCTTTTTTATTTAGTTGGGACATGATCATGTCCTTTGGATATTTCTTTCTCTTGGCATGTTCATTGCATTTTTACTTTTCTCGTATATGCTTGTACCTGCAGTATTCTTAATTGGTTTCACTAGAGAGATATTATTATGATGGTAAAATATGTTATTGCACTATATAGGTGCATGGCAGGTTTAACATCTCTGGATTCACCTTGGACTGTAGCCTCGTGTGAAACCATTGGCGCCGCACTCATCAACATGATGGGAGAAGGGATAGTTTAGCCCTACGGAAGGCTCTTCTTCTTCCTTAATCGGCTCCTTCCCATGGCGAGACGGCTCTCCACGATGAGTGAACACCTCCGTTCCACCATCATGAGCCCTCATCTCGGCTCCCCTCCTTGAGGAGCCTCAGCTGGTTCACCCGAAGCCGACTTATCCAAATGGATGACCTCAGTCTCAGTCGTCTCAGCAGCTGCCTGTACCTCCTGTTATCATCTTCCTATCGGGGCCGCCTCCTTCATCTATGGACGAGGGTGGGGGCTTCCTCCTTCTTGGCCGCCTCAGCCTCCGTTGGAGGAATATTCTAACAAAGACGCTTTATAGGCCTAGCAGCCTCCTCCTCCTAAGGAGCAGCTAAAGAAATAGTAGGCACCAGTGCTGCCTCAACTCCTCCTATGATAAGGGCTGAAGCTCTCTCATGGTCCTGGGCGGTAGCCAGCACGACTAACATGTCGATGACTCGCAAGACTGACTTGCTGAGAAGATGGTCGACTCGACGAGAGACGGTGTACGACTTGATCAAGTCAAGTTCCCCCTCTTGTTCGCAGATAGCTCACCTCCCATGAGCTCCTCCCTCCTTATTTTAGGCCAGTCGAAGCAGCCCAGCTCCAAGTCATCCCCCACGACCTAGATGAACTTCTCCTTTCAGTCCTTATATGAATCTGGAAGGCTGGTGATAAGCCTGAACTTCCAGCCATCTGAAAGTGGAAGTGGGGCTCATTCTGGTTCACCTTAACAACCACCAGCTGACCCAACGCCCATAAAGAGGGCTTTATTCCTAGCCAGTGGCAGATCACCACGAACCCCACTAATATAGCAATGATGTTTGGCTTCATCTGCTCCGGTGATACCCGTAGCACCATAAACACTTGCTTGAGGAAGGGATGCAGAGGCAATTGCAAGCCAAATTCCAGATGTCTTAAGTAAAGTGGACTCCGCTCTGGCCCATGATCATATATGGCCTCAGACCTCACCGGGGTCAATAGTCCATACTCCTCACGGACATCAAACTTCTTGTGGATTGTCCTTTTTTGGGCCATAGTCACTTTGGAGTGAATCCCCGCCAGGAGGGCTCATTGATCAACAGGTTCAGAAGCCATTGAAGGTTGCAAAGATGATCGCCGGAAGGGATGAACAAAGAAGATTTTGGATTCTCTAAAAGGGATTTTGAAGAGATAATAACTACCACTCTTATGGCCCTATTCTTATATATAGACAGCTAGCTTTACAACCATTGAAATTAGAACGATCGGATCAAGGATTTTCCAATTGCTAGGATTAATTGTCAGAATCTGAAGCGCCCTCTCTGAGATCGAGGCGCGACCCACTCACCTTGAATAGCCTATAATTTTCCAAGAAAAGCAGAGCTGTGACAGCCAAAAGGAATGCATAGTGACGTCAGCCACGTCTAATCCGAAGAGACTTTTCAGTTTCTCATTCAATACAACCCAAGTCCGTCCAAAAGCTAATCTGATTTTAGCCGACTACAAGTGAAAGGGGCTAACTGTTATGGTGTTCTCATTCGTAAAAAAGCAACAGATTGCCCAGTACAGGACAGGTGTACTGCATGCTATGCCCCAATCAAGTTAGCGTCCAGAGACCAATAGGGATAACAACTTAGCCGACTTGTCGAGTCAACATTCCCTCATGTCAACTCGAATGGTGGTACTTGTCCCCCCCTTTTCTCGAAGATGACTCGCCACGAGCCCCCTATACCATTCGTTGGATGCCTCGTGATGACGACTCGAAAGGCGTTACTTCTTGGCAAAGTTAAAGAATAACTTCTGCCTAGAGCCTCTCCCCATGGTAACGTGTCTGCATCACATTTAATGCATGATAGGCGTATCATGCCTCTAGCCCCGATAGCCTTTATGACTCATCGGACCACACAGGCACCCCCATGCCACCAATTGCTTCCTATTTAATGCTGAGCTGATCACTCATCTAGTCATAAGCCAACACCTGTAAAGTAGGTGCTGACTCACCCTCTAGCCCACACTTCACCACCGCCTTCCTACACTTGGCCAAAGTGACCGATCTATCCTTATACCCTAGGTATAAATACATGTACTATTCCACCTTTAATCGGGATCAAAATAAATCGAAGTTAGCAAATCTAATCTTTTAGCAGACATACTACACACACAAGAACTTTAATCGGGATCAAAATGAATCGAAGATAGCAAATCTAATCTTTTAGCAGACATACTACACACACAAGAACTTTCACAGTCCTTTTTTTCCCCACTCAAGTTCATCAGCTAATTTGACCATCGGAGGAACCATGGGGGAACCAAACCCCATCCTCTCACGAGTTCCTACTTGTGCAGATTCATCAACCCCACTCAAAGAACCAGATATAAAGTCAGGGGAGAAAGCGGCCCCTCAACAATAACACCATCTAACTACGATACATATTGCCTTGGCTATATATATATATATATATATATATATATATATATATATATATATATATATATATATATATTATATATATAATATATATATATATATATATATATATATATATACACAACACACCACACACACACACACACCACACACACACACACCACACACAACACACACAAACATATAATATATATATATATATTATATATATATATATATATATATATTATATATTATATATATATATATACAGAAATTTCCATGCCGCCATCAGTGCGTACGAATCAGCTCCGTGTTTGTTAAAGCAGGGGTCTTTTTGAAAAATTGACGACGACGAAGAATTAATGCGCCTCAGCGAATCTCGAGCTGGGAATTGTTAAAGCAGGGTTTTTTTTGAATATATAGCGACGACGAAATCAATAACCACAGCTAATTAATTTGTCGTTCTTCCCCCATTTCTTCCCCATTTCTCCCAAAATAATTGGTGACCCCCTGCTTCTTCTTCCCCCATTTCTCCCCCATTTCTCCCAAAATCACAGCTTCAGCTCCGTGTTGAATCAGCCGATTTCCCCCATTTCTCCTCCTCCGTCGAGTTCCCCAACTCCGCCCACCACGAAAGCAGCATCGCCGCCGACAAAAACCGATCTTCTTCAATTTCCTGGTGCTTCAGCGTCCTCTCCCCCAACTCCGGCTCTAAGTTACCGCGGACGAGCTCGTGGTTGAAGGTACAGAGCTCTGTCGGTATTTTTTTTAGGAATCAATCTATAATCTTAACACTATGACTCTTTTTCTTTTGCTTCCATATTTTAATCTCGCTAGTGACAATAATTTTTTTCATTTTTTATTATTTTACTTCTAGATAGAATGGGTATGCATCTGGATATCTAAAGGGTAATGTAGGATGCATCATCTACATGGCTTGTGAGAAGATGCTATATGAGTATTTATTTTTGTATGCTCTACTACATAAGGAAACTTGGAAACTTTGAGATCCTATACCAAACCTTAAAAAAAGTTTAATTTTGTGTATGGAGAATGTGATGGTTATGAAGAGAATATGACATGCTTATATGATTTTGTAGATCTGAAATTTTTTATTATTTGTATGAAATATTTTCGTATGTCTTGTGCCTGGGCAATTTGTATTATGTGCTTAGTATCAGTCTTGTACTCACCAGATTGTTATAAATGCCCTTTCCTTGCGTACAGTTATGTTTGTCCAAATACAGAGCCCATAATGCTTTCAGACCTAGCTACTTGTGTTAAAAGTATTGAGAAATGCAAACTGGCCGATCACATTGAAACTTAACACTATGGCTTATGGTCTAAATGCTTTCAAATGATTTCATTTATTTCTTACAGTGATAGGATCATTTGTAAATTCCCCCTATACACCTGTATCTTTCTATTATGAAAACTATTTTATTGCTAGGGGCACCTTGATTATTAAACCTGTTAGTATGCAATACTTGCTGCATCTTAATTTGCATATATTTTTAACATGGTTAATTACAGAATGGATAACTTAGGCACTGAAGCTAATGAAGTAAACTTGGACGACGATGATTTGATATATACTCCTCAAGTTTCAGATGAGTTGAGGCCAAAAAAAGGGCAAGAATTTGACACAATAGATGATGTTTTGACATTCTATAATGCTTATGCTAAAGCAGCTGGGTTTAGTGTAAGGTCTTCGACTACTTGCAAAGAGCCGGGAAGTTGTGAAATAAGAAGGAAGGAGTATGTTTGTTTTAAACAAGGAAAATCTTTAAAAATCGCGGATGTTGGAAAGAAAAGACGTCGGGGAAACTTAGCTGAGGATTGTACTGCCAAAATTGCTGTTTTGAAATCAAACTCTGGAAAATACATTGTTACTATTTTTAATGAGGAGCACAGTCACCCACTATCAACACCATCAAATGTTCATCTTTTAAGATCTCATCGTAACGTTTCAGCCGCAACAAAGTTTCTAACTAAACAGTTATCCATGGTGAATATACCTCAGCATCAACAATTCAGTTTTCTTGGAGTACAATCAGGAGGTATAGAAAATATTGGGTGCACTCAAAGAGATTTGTATCATCATGAAAGGGATATATGGGCTGATTTGAAGGGGCATGATGGTGAAATATTTTATGAATATTTAAAATTAGAACAAGGAAAGAATCCCGCATTTACTTTTCAAATTGAGGCCGATGAGGAACAAAAGATTACTCGTTGTTTTTGGTCCGATGCAAGATCAAGGCGGGCTTACAAATTTTTCGGTGATGTTGTAATCTTTGATACTACTTACAACACTAATCGCTATGGCCTTATATTTGCACCAATAATGGGGGTTAACAATCATGGTCAAACAATTATTTTTGCTTGTGGATTTTTGAATCATGAGAGCGTTGATGATTTTGTGTGGTTATTTAATCAATTTTTGGAAAGTATGCCTGGTGGTGCCCCGAAGATGATTATTACCGATCAAGACCCAGCGATGACTAAGGCATTCCCTCTTGTTCTTCCAAATACTTTTCACAGGCATTATAGTTTATGTATATTATTAAAAATATTTATATGCATAGTCTTTCTTTTTATGTGAAGAAACGAGGAAGATGTTTACCGATGGAGTGCGTATCATTAATGAGCAAATCGACCAATTCATTAGTAGCCACATGGTTAGTGGCCGCACGGTTGCAAAGAGCTTCACCGAGAAAAATAATCAAATGAGTAGTAATTTAATGGATGATGGTACTAGTGTGCAGGATTCTTGTACTTTTCAAAATAGTTTCAATGAACCCGATCAAGTGCGAGCAAAAGGGTGCGGCAAAAGGTTGAAGGGAGGAAAAGAGAAAGCAATGGCTAGAGCAAAAAATAAAAAAGATAGACGTTGCCACGGGTGTGGTAAAGTAGGCCAATCACATGATAAGCGAAATTGTCCGGCACTCACAAATCCGTAAGTAGTAATTCTTTTATTATTTAATCCTTTCTTATTCTTCACCTTCTATTATCCCCTTGGTGTATATATATATTTTTTCTTTATAATGTAGGTCTTCTACATGCGGTGACACAAATTGGCATGAGGGTAATGGGTCATCAAGTGAAGATGGGGATGATGGGCTCCTATGAAGACGGTCTTCTACATGCTTCTATTTTGCCAGATTTAGTGCATATGGGTACTGTGATATCTATTGGTCATTTTAATGACATGCTCTTACCTTCTGTTTCAGATTACATCTACAAATTAGATTACATCTGATGTATACTTGTTGCACGCTCCTTGCAGGTACTGTATTCAATAATTAAAATTGCAGACATGATGTTTTCAGCAGATAGATGCAGGAATTTGTTCTCTGGTCACTGAGATTTGTTCATTTTTTTGGCACTGCAATAGAAGATGCAAGGATGCACTTATTCTGTTCTTGACTCCTGAAGCCAACAACTTGGTTTTCCTTGGTTTTGGTTTATATGAAGTTCCTTTATGCTAATTTTAGTACTCAGACATAAATAATACCAACTTTATAGTTGTTTAACCCTGCTGCTGTTGTTTGGACTTTCATATGATTCTGGTGGAATATATTTCTGGTTTATGGATTGTAAGACTGTATTATGAGCATTTTTTCTGTTTTAATTGGTCTTTACAGGACGTAAACAAATCAGGTCCACATTGTGAAAGTTGTGGGTTAATGCTTTTGATATCAGTTTGTGAGAAGTGGTTGGGTTTTATGTATGTACTTTTGTTAATTTTGACATCAGTTTGTGAGTAAGTGGTGGGTTTTATGTATGTACTTTTGTTAATCTTGACATCGGTTTTTGTATCCACTGCAGCCAATGCATATGCTAACTGTTACAGTAAATTCTGTCATATGCTAATGGAAGCCATATGTTATCTTCAATTCTTGTGGGGTGCATGTATTGTAAATTCTGTCTGCCATATAATTTAGTTGAAGGTATGCTAATGGGCATTCTTTTTATTTTTTTTCCCTGTTCTGGTTCATGTTAGTGGTTCGCTTGTTACATTTTGACAGTTACCATTTGAGAATCACCACTTACCAACTTGAGATGCTTGAACAACACACATGCAAAAGGTCATGTTACAGGTTTCATTCTTAACTCCATAGAATAACTGCAAGCCTAGTTCCTCTTTCTTCATCTCATTCATGTTAACATAACAATAACTTAGCTCAAACTCCAGCTCCTCAACCGTTTCATTCTTAACTCTTTAAACTGCTCATCATTTTCAACATTTCCTCTTTCACAATTTGGAATAAACTGAGTTGCCAAATTACACATAAAACCCATGATGCCCCAAAACAAATATTTTCAACTATAACCGGAGCTAATGACCAGCGTTCGAATTACATCAAATTTTCCAACAGAACAACATGTGAGCCTGGAAATTCAACACTGGATGCATCGATCAGCATCCATCCATTTTCATAAAATAAGGGAACATTACTAAAGACAAACACTAGAAATACTAATACAAATTACATCACATGTTTTTTGCAATGGAGAAACCAACAAATACCGCAACGATACATACTAGAAATACTAATATTGTAAACAATGAACCTAATACAAAAGCATAGATAGAGAAAATAGAAGTTTCCCTAAGTTTTTCCTTGTCCACATCCATATTATGGCTCACTGGATATCTTTGTTCTTGAGCATAAACAGATGTTTGGACAGGCCTCGAGCTGGATGCTGAATCACGAGCGAGTGTGTACTTCTCCCATTCAATCAAAGCCTCTTCGTACGTTGCATATCCTTTGTAGGAGGCATTTGGGAATTTATCTACCTGATATTTGCATTCCTCCCAATTATTAAAAATTCCACATCGTCGACCTCTCTTCACAACATAAAAACTTTTTCTAGCCATGGATAACCTGAAAATACCCCAGGTTGGAGGGTAATTACAATTTTTACAACCTAAAGTTAGCATGTTGTAGATCAGGAAAAAATAAAAATAACCTAGTTGAACAAATTGAATGTTGTAGATCAGGCATGTTGAAGCTGACAACAAAGCAGCTTTTAATGCACACAATTTGAAAATGGAGAGATCTGATTCAACAGACAACCAAAAGAATCAAGTTCATAATTATTTCATAATTCATGACTCTTTCCAATTGGATCAATGATATAACAAAGTTTTGAATTATGTATAAAGGTGATTGGGATTTCTTTTGAATCTCTTTATGTTGATTTTTAAATGTGGTGAAATATGGATCTGATGAATGAATTCCCAGCATAGCAGTCTTAGAGGAAAGATATTGTGAATTTTAGGATAATGATAATTAGGTGAATGATAATGAATGTATAAAAGTTCAGTTTCCTAACTAAATATTATTGGTTACGATGTACGAAATATGAGAACAAGTATTGAGAGAAAGGAATTTATTTTGCAGATAGACACCCTAAGAGTAAAAAAAAATACTTACCCAATTCTGAAGTTATGGGGTAACAAGAATCAACAATTTCATTTATATAGATAAACGAACTTGAGTCTAGCAAAGCATTTAGACCATAAGCACAGAGATCAAAAAAAACCCTAATCAAAACCCTAATCAAGTTCGGGTACGCCTTTGCTGCTGCAGATTCACTTTAAGCACCAGGAAATCGAAGAAAAAAATCAAAAAAAACCCTAATCAAAACCCTAATCAAGTTCGGGTACGCCTTTGCTGTTGCAGATTCACTGTAAGCACCAGGAAATCGAAGAAAAAAATTAAAAAAAAACCCTAATCAAAACCTGTAACGAGCTCGAAGAAGATCGGTTTTTTTCGGTGGCGATGCTACTTTCGTGGTGGGCGGAGTTGGGGAACTCGACGGAGGAGGAGAAATGGGGGAAATCGGCTGATTCAACACGGAGCTGAAGCTGTGATTTTGGGAGAAATGGGGGAGAAATGGGGGAAGAAGAAGCAGGGGGTCACGAGCACTTGGACGAAAAATTAATGCGCTGTGGGGTTTTTGATTTCTTCGTCGCCAATTTATCAAAAAACCCCCTGCTTTTAACAAACACGGAGCTCGAGATTCGCTGATGCCCATTAACTGCTTCTTCGTCGCCAATTTATCAAAAAAACCCCTGCTTTTAACAAACACGGAGCTGATGTGTACGCACTGATGCGCATGGGAAATCTTCTGTATATATATATATATATATGTATATATATATATATATATATTATATATATATTTATATATATATAGTATATATTATATATATAGATATATATAATATATATATAATGTATATATATGATAGATATATATATGTAATGTATGTAGTATGTATGTATGTATGATATATATAGATATATATGTATATTATGTATATATACATATAGATATTATGTATATATAACAGTATACCATATCTATATATATATATATTATATATATATATGGTACATATATATATATATATATATATATATATAAAATAATAATATATATATGTATACATATATATATATAAATGTATACATATAAATATATATATGTATACATATATATTATTATATAATATATCATATATATATAAATATATATATAATTATATATATATATATTTATATATATATGTATACATATATATATATATATATATATATAATATATATATTTTATATATAATATACTATATTATACATATATAGTATATATTATATATATAAGATAATATATATATATATTTATATATAGTATATATAAATAATATATATATAAACACACACACACATATATACAGTATATATATACAGATATACATATATATAAATGTACACGATATATACATATATAATATAATACTATACATAATATACATATTATTACTTATATACATATTACATTATATACATAATATATACATATACATACTATATAATATGACGTATATATACATAATAATATATATATATATATATTAATTATATTATATATATATATATATATATATATTATATATATATATATATAATATATAGAATATATATATTATATAATACATATATTATATATATTTATATATAACATATTATATATATATATATATATATACATATATATATATATATATTATATATATATATATATATATATATATATGCGACACCTTGGCCTCATTCCATCTGCAAAAGTTTAAATTAGCAACTCAATGTTTAAAGTCTATTTATTTACCTTTTCAACTCAATTGTATGATGTCTCCTACATATCCCATGTATTCTTTGTCATGATTGCTCCATCAATCTTCTCAAAAACCGAATCGTTTACTCTTTGATGGATGTAGAATAACACATTCCTTCTAATATTTCTTCTTGTCCTCACTATGGGATTTCTTCTCGCCTTTGCTCGCACTCTCCGCAAGATCGGCAACTCCATACTATATAACACCCAGTATATCTTGGGAAAACCCTCATATGTACTCTTCATCTATGATAATTATTCCCATCCAATACAAAAATAGAGCGCAACGTTATCCTATTAACACGGATCATAGCTTTGATACCGCTATTGGAGCAACTTTAAAACTAAATAATAAATATGTAGCAAAGAGAGATGGAAGAAACAAACAAAAAAATTATTCCCTGACTTGTCTAGCTACTGACTCATGGGTACAGTAATGCTAAATATATAGGCTTGTAAACAGTGTTTCATGACAACGCAAACCTAGAGATAGAGTGTTATCCAACTTCTAGATGACTATCAATGCAAACTCGTAGGAAACTTTATTAAAGCTAACTCTTAGAGATAAAAATTTCTAGATAATCGTAAAGTCATCATTCCTATCATATGCTTCAACTTGACAAGTGCTTCAAAATTTAAGAGTCTAGTGAGGATATATGCAACTTAATCTTTTAGACTTACAATAAACCAATATGATCTCCTTCTTCTCAATATTATCTCAAAGAAAATGGTACGAGTATGGATATGCTTGCTCCTTCCATGAGTAACATGATTATTTGCCAAATCAATTGCCGACATGTTGTTAACATAGATCATTGTAGGGCCTTCAACTTGAATATGAATTTGATTAAGCACATTACATATCAAGCAACTTAACAAGCACTCAATGTTGTTGCTGCATACTCCTCTTCACAAGCTAAAAGTACAATAATGGATTGTTTCTTCGATGATAAAGAAAATACGGTGGAGAAAAATTAAAAACATAGCTAGAAGTTCTCTTATGAATATCATTATTATGCTCCAATCACTTTTAAAATGACCTATAACATCATAATTGTTCGATGTAGAATAAATCAAATCTTGATCACAAGTCCCTTTAGGTACTACATGCAATTTGTAGATGACATTGACAAGTGGCCTCCAATTTCTGATGATTGGACCAACCCCGTGAGCTATGTCTACCCTTGTACATGTAAAATATCTCAAATTCTTAATAAGTTGCTTGATATAAGTAGAATCAACTTATGCATCGTCATCTTCTCGAGATAATTTAGTACCATCCTCCATCAAAGTTCTAACAGGATAGCAATTAAACATCAAAAATCTTTCACAATCAGACATGGCATTCCGATCTTTCACAAAGAAGCACTGATCAGCTTGTTCTGCGAAAATAAATTTCTCATCCTATATACTTCTCGATAGATATTGATATGTGTAAATCCATAATAATCTTTTTTGCTTCTTTGCAGGACACCACCAAACCTTGAACAGCGTGTAACTACATTGTTTTAATTTACCAAACCTGTATATTACCTCAATAATATCTTCTAATTTTCTATAATATAGTATGTCAGCTAGAATTGGGTTCTGATCTCTTATACTTGAAAAACATTCTTGAGCAAACAAACCCATGACCCCACTATTCTTGAGCAAACATTCTTGAGCTAAGAAAAAAATTATATTTTGATGAATATTATTTAATCTTTATATCTATCTGCTAGTCCTAACTCTTCAAATTTATCTTCAATTCCAACCATCCGATCGATGTCTTACGTTCGCTTCTCGTACCTCCACCAATCTTGTAAGCACATCACCGCTTGTACAGTATACGGATCTAAGCATGTCCTGTGTGTTAGACCCTAGAAGGGGGGTGATTAGGGTCTTAAGGTAATAATTGTGCAATAAAAATTAAGACAAGCAAATACCACAAAATATAATGCTAAAATAAAAAGAGATAAGATAGAAATCGTTATCCAAATGACGCGCGATCTGTTCACGAGGTTCGGCTTTCTAGCCTACGTCCCCGCTCCCCACTCTCGAGGAGAATCCACTACACAATCCGGTTTGGAAGCCGGAACTTCTTCTACACATCGATCTCCACGAGATCTCACGACACAGTTGATCTCCACGAGCTCTCACGACACAGTTGATCTCCACGAGGTCACCACACAATCAATGGTAGAAAATAAAGAATTGCTCTCTCTTACAACATCCCTATAGCAAGAAGAGAGATTGCACTTGAAGCTTTGGATGTGGGATGTGCAAGTATAAAACAAGGAATTGGATTTTGGAAGTTAAGGCTCTTGAACTCAAGAATTAAACACAATTGATTTTTCTCTTGCAAAGTTGGTGGGAAAAATAAATGGGGTAGTTAGGTATTTATAGTGAAAAATAACAGCAGCCAAAACCCCAAAGAAATCATCAAAATTCCCCAAAATCCGGTTTTCTAAAACTAGCCGTTACTGTGCAACGGCTCTTTGATAAGTCGACTCATGCACAGACCAGATTTGCACAGGAAAACTAAACTTAAAAACATGTTTAAAAATATCAGATAAATTCTAAAAAATATGAAACTTTGGGAATAGTTTATAATCATTTTTACAAACTTGTTTGAAAAGGAATTTTGTAAAAAGGTCCTTGTATTTATGAAAAACATCATTTTGATAAAAGTACCAAAATACAAGTTTTGAAAGTGTAAAAAGGTCCTTGTATTTATGAAAAACATCATTTTGATAAAAGTACCAAAATACAAGTTTTGAAAGTGTGCAAGTGTGTGTGATATCCCGAATAGCTTCAAATGAAATCTACAACTACTTGCTTACAATCTAGCACTAGAGAGAAAAGAAAAACTAGCAAATATCTCACATAGAATAACATTTATTTGAGTCTTGATATTGCTTTAATTTGATGAAGCTTTCACTTGTATATGTTGTTCTTGATTAACATTTGCTTCATCACATTGCCTCCGCCTCCTATAGATATTGACGTTGCAGCTCATATTCTATACAATCCTTCATATATGGTACTAACAAGCTTGATATACATATTAACTATAATATCACTCAACAAGTAATTAGTACCGATAATGGTGGTTGTAAATTATCATCAAAACATAAGGGCTAACCATCTCCCCCTTTTTGATGATGACAACCAACCATTATTTATGAGCTAAATAAATATAGCTCATGGATAGGTGCTCCCCCTTATCTATGAGCTCCCCCTTACTATGTGCACAAATGAGGACAAATGAGGAGATTTCTCTCCCCCTTTGTCACCATCAAAAAGTAGGGAAATGAAAAGAGAAACATACTTAAATACATTAAATATACCTCAAGTGTTGGTCCTCATGTATTGCCTCCCTCAAGTGCTCGGAATTACCACCTCTCACTAGGCCACCCATGCCACTTCTCTTGGTATCGACTACGTCCTCACCACACACTCCTCTTGGCAATTTGTATGTGCTTAAGCATGTTATGAAAATGAGGCATATATAATATGTGACCAAGCAAACAAGCAAGCAAAGATATTTTTAAATAATTCATAGGCCCAAACCATTTCTTATGCGACAAAAATCTTCTTCACTAAGAGGCTTGGTAAAGATGTCCGCTAATTAAGATTTAGTATCAATATGAATAAGGGATACATCTTTCCGCTCTACATGATCACGTAAGAAATGGTGGCATACATCAATATGCTTGGTTCTAGAGTGCAAAACGGAATTTTTGGAAATGTTTATAGCACTAGTGTTATTACAAAAATATTTTGTATTTTAAAAATGCAAGTCATAATCAACCAAACTTTGTTTCATCCAT